CCCCCCCCCCCCATCCCATCTCCAATATTCGATGGCATGTATCACATGTAGACAAACGAAAATGTCTGATTACGAATTGCGGATCTAAGCATTGAGCGCAGGACACTTTGTGTTCCGAAGAAGCAATTAGTGGTGCATTGCTAAAAGATATGCCAACTCATACAAGTGGACTCCGATAGAAGCCAAATACCAAACTTTTTCATCCTACAATGGAAAGAACGCCAGAACCATATGTGCAACACTTGCTTCACGCGGAAGACAGAACACCTTCTCCCCGGTTGATCTGGATCCTCTTGTCCTCACCGGCACTGACAATGCCAACGGAACGATCCCAGCACACGCCAAAGACCTTGACTCCTTCGCCACCCACGCGCTTGGCGTCGGCTTTGCCCGCCTCCTCAAGGCTCTTCCGGGTGATCGAGTAGAAGCTCTCTCCAACGACACCCTCCTTGTCTGTCTTGGTGGCGCGGATATCCCAGATGCGGCATGTCCCATCGTGACTACCACTGATAAGGCCGTAGCTGCTGTGGGGATCGCGAGACAAGGAGACCACAGCGTTCGTGTGGCCGCGGAGGGTCATGGCAGAGATAGTTGTCGCCGAGACACGGGGGTCAATGAGAGTGATGTGGCGGGCGGAAGTTCCTGTTGCCAAGAGGTGGTGCTCGGGGAGATGCTCGAGGGAGAGAAGCGAGTGGGACGTTGACCGAGTGTCGACAAGCGCCGCAGTGACCAGATCCCACGTGCGAAGAGTATGATCCCATGAAGTTGAGTAACCGACGGTTGAGTCTTTGGCATCGAAAATGGCGGCCGATACTGGAGCGGTATGGGAGGAGAGCAGAGCCAAGGGTCCGCGCTGAGGAGCGCTGACGGAGGAGTTCAACTTTCTTCTCTTGGAGGTTCTAGAGGCGGCAGAGGGCAGTAGATTCTCTGGGGCGGCCGGGGCGTCTGATTTCTTAGCGGACCAGAAACCAACAGCGTGGTCGGAAGAGGCGGTTAGGATGCGGTTCGAAGGGGCATGCACAGCCAATGAGTTGATGCCGGACTTGTGACCGTACAGCTCAAGCTGAGGAGCAATCTTTCCAGAGAACCCATCTTCGCTCTCAGTGTACTTCCACAGACGCACAGTGCGATCCAGACCGGCGGAGACGATCGAGTTGGGAGACAAGAATTTGGCGGCCTTGATGGATGCGCTGTGTCCACCGTCCACAGCAGACGGGGAGGTCGCAACTATCTGAGAAGACATATTCCACACCCGAAGCAAGCCATCGTAGCTAGCGGAGAGGATTCTTTCTTGGCCTTGAGGGATGGATGACGATGCCCAAGAGGCAGCAGATGATGTCGCAGAGAGCACGTCCACGGCGCTGACCCAATCATCATGCTCAAAAGAAGCGATGTGAAGTGGGGGAATCAAGGCTCTGATATATTCGATCTCCAGAGTCGTTTCAGCGGAAATGCCATTGGCCGTCAAATATTCATCGATGGAAGTGCGGAGGAATGCTCCGTTGATCAGGAACTCGAAAGGTACCGGCTTGTCGTTTCCCAGCAGGTTGTTAACTAGCGTCGAGAGTGCATATCTGCGCAGACCTGCGAATCATAAGAGTATCAGTATCGTGAGGCTAGCGCATCAATGACCTAGCAGGTAATCTCACCAGTAGGAACCAAGATAGGGCCGGTATTCTCAGGAAGCGCAATGTCTTCCTGTTTGCTGACAAGCTGCACACGCACCTGTCTCTGCGCACTCGCAGCAGACGAAGATTCTTGTGTCCCGTTCATATTTGAGACTAATTTACCAGAAAAGATAGGGTATATTATGAGACTGTGGTCAGAGGCGCACTTCGTCGCCGTTGAGAAAACTCCGCCGAGGGGAGAAGAAAAAATACGGCGGGCGATGCGGCCAGATGTGCAAAGCGCGGAGATTCCCCGCGACCGCCTTCATGCCGATAACAAACAATATACCCAAAAGTACTACACAAACAAAGACCAAATCGAAACGTGGTTTTATTTCTCCTGTACACGGTCTTATATATACAAAGATCTTCCCTGACCCAAGTTTATCTCCACTGATCTCTAGAGTCCCGTCGGATGTCCGCAATCGCTTTCCGCCGATACTCGGATTCGGCGAACAGCGCCTCGATCAGATCAATCACTTCTTCAGGCGAAAACTCCAGGCGTAGTTCTCCTTCAACCCAGAGAAATCTGATATCGGCTAGCGAGCTCTCAAGAATGTTGATGAGGTATTGGAATTTGAGCCAAGTTGGCACATAGACCGCAGTCATGGGTACACGCTCGGTGTTGTCTTTTGCTTCGGGCATGAACAGCTCTTCCAACTTCGAAACTTGGTTGCAGAAAGACACAAGTCTTTGCGACTGGGGCTCTGAGATGTCACCCAAGTCTTCAATCTCGATAACCATCTTGCTGATCACGGTCGAGACCAAGGATCCGATTGACTGAAGAAGGGCTGAGTGCGATAAGATCGGCCGCCATTCCGCATAGACACCCCGGATTCTGTCAACGGTGGCAGCGACCGCATTCTCACATTCACTCAGATATGGCTGCTCAGAGCACTGGCTGAATCCTTGGGCGCCGTCGAGAAGATCGGTCACAATGGTGCGCTGGGTTTGCATCTCTTTGCTATATGCGAGTTTGCCAAACTTCTCCATCGCATCAATGTCAGCTTGCAATCGTGTAAGCTGGTGCGCCTCCATGACGGTACGTATTTCGCCAGAAAGATACTGAGTATCATTGTAGAGATACATTTGCCCAGCATTCAGTTTATGATCATAGAAGGATGAGGCAGTGGCTTTGAACATGGCGAGAATCAAGGTTGGGAGTGCAAGCAGCCCCGTCCCAGACGATACCACGCGTGAATGTGAATGTCTGAAATGCATTAGCATGGAAATCGACTGCTTTAATGCAAATAGTAACTTACTCGGGTTGAGTTATAGCTTGGGAATCAACGATCTGTTGTTTGATGATGTCCACGATGGAATGGGGTATATCCGTTATAGTGTATCTTTCGGTCAGAGTAACCTCCCTCGAAGAAGCAGGCTGCCTTGCGCTTTTGCCGTTGGCGGACTGACTTGCTTGCGACTTTCCGGGCTGTGGTTGATCGACAGTCTGGTCTTCATCACCGTCATCTCCCCAGCCCCAAGCGTCACCAGCGTCGTCTTCAGCGGGAGCGCCTACTTGAGACTTCGGGGTTTGTTCCTCGGTGTCATCGTCATCGAGCCCCCATGCGCTCACATCCTCTTCGTCGTCTTGACTTTTGGGACCCTTTCCTTCAGTTTCACCTGTATTGTCGTCACCCCAGCTCGCATCCCAATCATCGGCTGGAGCGTTCTCTAATAGTGTGTCATCGTTTTCAGATACTACCTCCACTTCAACCTTTTCCACCTGCTTTGTGGTGCCTTGACTCGCAGCGAGGACCTTACGAACTTGGTCCAAAGAGTTAACCCTCCGCTTGGCAAGCCAGAGTCGAGGGGCCTGGTTCACCCAAGAAGTGAGTTCTTCATGGCCATGCCAGCCTAGATCCTCCACAGACTTTGTGAATTTTAGGACACAATCCAAGGTATACTCGAAGTCTTGAAGCCCTCCCAGCTCGATGGGAATAGAGGGTGACAGCCACGATTTAATCAACTTCGAGGACAATGAGGGAATAAGCGAGTCCGAGAATGAGTCGACAACAGAGGCGGGCACAGCCTGTCGCAAGAAACCAAGAAGGTTGGATATGTGTCCGAGGACTTCAGGGACCGAGGTCTTCGATGCTTGCGGTTCCACTTGAACAGAGAATTCAGAAATCAGAATCCCGCGGCTTTGCCCATTAACTCCTCGCATCAAGGCTGGGTCTAGTAATGCCATCATTATGTCTTTTGCAAACTTGTCTCGCGCAGAGACGAATATCTCCATTTTGTTCAGGGCTGCGATTGTTTGTGCTAGGCGGTCACCTGCGGTTTGAATTAGAATAAATCCAATGATTTGATCAACATTTAGGTGTATAAGGGGATATTACCATCTTTGTGAACTGTTAGCTTCCCTTCCCGTCTCTCAATCTTCAGCTGCTCGTTCCATTGAGAAAGGATGACATCGACGATCTTCTTTCGCAGACCCGCGACATTCTCCAACAAGATGTGCAAGACGTTGGTGTTCGCAAAATGATCATTCTGTCTCATTGCAAGCTCAGCTGCCTCTAGCGTGTCGATTACGGCCATGATCCGGCCCTCTTCCAGTGCTGACTGACCATCTTCCAGTTGCCGGCAGAGCCCCTGTACCTCCTCCAGAGCACTGGTCACCGCCTGATTGAAAGCAATTTCGGTCTCAATCAATCCGACCTTCGCAGCGGCATCCTCCACCTTCAGCTGCAGGGGAGTGGTATTCTCATGTTGCTTCACGATCTCTCGGGCAGTAACCCTGGAGCGCTCGATGTCTGCATGAAGTTGTTTCGCTTGAGAGATCCAACCGTCCGCATCGAAATTGTTCTCGCGACTGAGAGAGTTTATTTCGGCCTGTCGAGCGATTGGGATGGGTATCAGCAGGGCTCAAATAGGCTAGATGATGCGGGGCTCGTGTCTCGAATCATCGACTCACCTCAACTTGTTCTCTAGCTTTGGAGATCAGTTCCAATTCCTTAGACAGAGCAGAGACAGGAAATTCGGCCGCAATAGTCTTTTCTGAGGAAGGATAAGTGCCATCAGTCACGAAAGTCAGGACCGATTGACAGATCCCCTCCTCTGAAATCTTGCCGGGCATCTTGTATCGTGTCCTCCGCGGGCCAACAAGCTCGGGGAAACTGTCGCAGAGATGGCGCAAATTAGAGGGCGGATGCTTTAATATGCTGGTCCGACTGGTACCAGCCTTGTATCTCAGGCGAGACTTCCTGGAACGAGCAATAGGAAAATAGTTGAAGAACAGCAAGTGCAACAGGGATAGGAACTATTGAATCGATCAACAATCAGAAATACCATGTGACCTCACCGCTCACCGCCTTGGCTGCGATAGACGCAATGCGATCAGCTCGAACTACTTACTCCCACTCAACTTATTCATACAGCCTTCGTTTCACTGCGCTCCTCATTCGTGGGTCTTGGTCCTTGGGCTTACGATCTCGCAGTGATTTCTGAAGGTGTGTTGTCGTCACGTCATAGGCCAATAGCCATTACCAGCTCCAGTGGCATGGTTGATCTTCGAGGCCTACGACTGTATCAGATATCGGGACCCAAAACTCCACTCCGAACCGTTGCAGTGCAGTTTGAGTTCAGCCTTTTCTCAGCAGCCATCAGTGCTCACGACACTTTTCTCTGAAAACTCCTTTTGAGAGACACTGCTGTTAAGCAGAGCCCATCGTGTCGCCACTGTTTCTCTCACGGAGCCTGATTCGGGCAACCTCTTCTCGATCCATGTAAGTTCATGTCGCTACCCTTCGCTTGAGTTTGAGGCAAGAAAAAGAAAAAAGAGCCCAAAACGTGCCCCTCCGCCACTTGTCGTTATCACCAGACCTGTTGGTACGGTTCGCAACCCAATATACCATGGTCCCTGTCAACTGCTGTTACTGTTATGCAAATATCTTCAATCACAAATTATCGCATGATTAGCGTTTTCCGGCGCGAAAAAAAAGGCGTGCATCCATCTTTCCAATCACAATGTTTCAACCCCAGAGCATTGCTAGCTTTTATTATCTTATCTTTAAAACCCTCGTTGGGCGTAATATTACAAAGGGTGTCAATTATGGTGTGCTGACAGTTCACTAGTTCCTTGATACGGGGAGTGACCACAACTTATCCTCGCAGGTTCGCCGGGTCGGCTTTCAAGATGTCACCAAGCCAGAAGGGTCACTTCAAGCTCCTCCAGAGGTTCAAGCCGGACTACTCGCCCAGCGAGTTCGTTCAGTATGAGTCAACGAGGACTGGCATGAAGGTCGTGGTCATCGACCAGAAGGGTCCTAAGGTCACAGGATATTTTGTCCTAGCTACTGAGATCCATGACGACTCAGGAGCTCCCCACACCTTGGAGCACTTGTGCTTCATGGGGTCGCGGAATTACAGATATAAAGGATTCCTAGACAAGCTCGCAACGCGAGTGTACTCTAGTACTAATGCATGGACTGCCACTGACCACACGGCTTATACGCTGGACACAGCGGGCTGGGAGGGTTTCGCTCAGATCTTACCTGTGTACCTAGAGCATGTGATCGCCCCGACCTTGACTGATGAAGGGTGCTATACTGAGGTCCACCACATCGATGGAACTGGAAACGATGCAGGTGTGGTCTACTCAGAGATGCAAGGAGTACAAAACAACTCCGCCGAATTGATCGACTTGACTGCCCGACGCTTGACTTACCCTGAAGGTGTAGGTTTCCGTTATGAGACTGGTGGTATGATGGAGCAGCTTCGTGTTCTCACTGCGGAGCGTATCCGAGCATTCCATCGTGAGATGTATCAACCTAAGAACCTGTGTCTGATCATCACGGGTGAGGTAGATCATGAGAACATGTTGAGTGTTTTGGACAAGTTTGAAGATACCATTCTAGATGTCATCCCTAGGCCAGATGCGCCTTTCACCCGCCCTTGGGTGGATTCTAAGCAGGCACCTCCGTTGGAGAAGTCCATCGTACAGAGGGTTGAATTTCCGGAAGAAGACGAGTCTTTTGGAGAAATCGAGATCAGGTTTCTTGGTCCTGATTGCATAGACCCCGTTAACAGTAAGTCGAGGTTCATTCAGTGTATAAGCCAGATACTTACGATCGATAGCTGGGGCTGTCAACGTTGCCCTATTGTATCTGGCTGGGTCGTCTGCTTCGCTGCTAGACAACATTCTGGTGGA